ATAGAGGCTGCATGATAGAAGGTAGCAATAATTACGAGATTGGAAAAAATTCGATCACAAGTCATGGCGTGGGAAAGAAGCCTAAAAGGGGGAGTTCCATGACCTTTGGATTTATTCACAGAACAACTGCCTAAATGGCAAGGGGAGTACTGAGATATTCACAAGAGCTATAAGTTATGAAAATGATAAGAGCATCAGTCAACATTCGAGGACGAAAGTTCCAAAGGGGGAATGATGTTACGCCCAGCAATATTACGTCTATAATACGTCGCGCAATATTATATAGCGATGATGTTACACCTTGCAGTAATTACGCTTCAGTATTAATTTACGACGACATTGCACCCTGTAGTATTGTACGTTGAATTTGACGTAAGGAAAAGATTATTTGGAGATTATAAGGATTATGCTATTTTAAACAAGTGATGAGTAAATTCGTGAAGGTGAGAGGGGAAGCAAGTCAAAGAAAATGAATTTTCGTCCAAGTTTGGCATGTTGGGATAAAATACAGGCCGAGCGTTAATACCCGATATTTATGGACTAGTACCATACAAGGTACCATATGACCATGATAGTACGATATATAAAAGGGTATATTAAAAATAAGTAAAATTTTAAGTAAATTGAGACAATTCTTAATTATGCGGTTAATTGATTAATTATCAGGTAACGGGACATTACCTAATTAATTAATAAATTAGTGAATAAAGACTAATTTCCGCCCCCCCGCCCCCCCCCCCCCCCCCAGCAAGGAGCTAACCAAACAAATGACTAAGTGTCACTTGGGATTAAGTGACAATCTAATATAGTGACTACAACACACCTTATTATTAGGATTTTAAATACAAATATTTTCCTAATACACTTAAGACACTTTCCTAACATAGCAACCTAAGACACTTTCCTTCTTAACATTTTCAATACTATCAGATGTAAAGCTCTTGCAAAGATTAGTAACGTGACTTCTAAAAATCCTATAAAATTCCTTCAAATTCCTACAACTAACATTAGCAACGTGATTTTTTCGACCATTTCCTACAAAAGAAATCCGACGAGAATTATTAGAACCCTAGCAACGTAAAATTTTGCGGTTGTAGAGGAGTACGGTGCAACTTTTTCTAAGAATATCATACGGATTTTTTCCTACTCTAGGTATGTTAAGGCTAAGCTCTTCCTTCATTTTGGCATGATCTCATAATTACACAAGTTTGATAACGAGGCATAAAGAAAAATCCATGTCCCGAAATTTACGTATATTTTTCTAGTTTTGTAAGTTACAATATTCTCCTTATCAGGACTTCATATTCTATTGAGTATTTCCTTCTTCCAGTCAAGAGAGCAAAGAGTTTATATATACAGTATTAAAGTATTTTTATTACCATCGAGCTATAATCGATGGTCAGGCCCCTATTGGGCAACCTCTGATCAGATGATAAGTTATATACCGAGCCTACTGTGGTCAAGCGCCTATGCGCGAGCCCGGTTGGCCGAGATACAGAGCCTAGTATGGCCGAGCACCTATGAGCGAGCCTACTACGGCAGTAGGGTGGGACAACTATTTTACTTACTATATTGAGAGAGTTTAGTCAGTATCATCGGGTAAGCATACCTTCAGATTATCTTTGACTTCCAGTTACTTTCCGTTATTATATTATTAGTTCAGTTTCAGCTTGAAGTATATTGCCTTTCATACTCGATACATTATTTCGTACTGACGTCCCTTTTCTGGGGGCGCTGCATTTCATGCGTGCAGGTTCAGACAGACAGGCGGGTAGACCTCCTCATTAAGTGTTGTCCGAGTTCAGCTTGATCGGTAAGCTCCATGCCTTTCGGAGTTGCCAGGTCTACAGCTTTATGTACATCTTGTGTATATATGTATATATGCTATTAATAGGTCGGGGAGCTGTTTCGATCACAGTATATCCATCAGCAGAGGCTTGTAGACATATCCTGTCAGTTGGTGCAATATGTTAGGCTTGTAGGCCTTGTATGTATATTTGGTTGGTTTGTCAGCTACAATAATTATGACGGCCTTGTCGGCCCAGCTTTATTTTGATGTTTAGTCAGCATTCGCAGTTGTCTAGTAATGTGGTCCATGGCCAAAGTATGACGTCACGTGTTCAAAGTTCCTTAGTCGCAAGGATAGGTGAGGCAGCGGGTGCCGGTCTCGCCCCCAGGTTCGGGGCGTGACAATTTTGGTTTGGGCTTTTGTTAGCATTATTTAATTTACTAATATTAATGGCTATAAAATGTATTGGAACACTCAAAAGTTCTAAGTCAAATCTTGAAATAATAACTTAAAGGATAAAATTTTAAAAATTATATCACAATAAATATATTTATATATTAAATATATCTAAAATTTCTATATATGTAATGTCGGGTTGGTTTGGTTTCGGTTTGATTTTCTTCAGTGAAAATCAAACCAATTATGGTCGGGTATTTTTTTCCAATACCAAACCAAATCATAATCGTATGTTTTTTCTCTGTTTGACTCGAATTATCGGGTTGGTGCGGTTTGTCGTTTACTTTGTACACCCCTACTCTTCTCTATTGAGGAAAAAGCCTCATATCATATTAATGAACACGTACACAAAGAAGACGACGTTTAGTGCAAAACTGGGCACACCGGATTGCACTTCACCAATTAGCGTTTGTTTCCAAAAGGTGTTTGAATATATATTATTTTTGAACTTCTTTAGTTTATTGAAAAGTTTTTAAGGTTTTAAAATATTGAAACAGAATGCCATCTAAACCTCCCTACTGAAAAGACTAACTTTATATATTCCTTTGCAAGCAGTTTGAGATTTTCTTTTTCACAAAAGTTTAGAAGAAATATGGTGTTAGATTGTACCATGAAAAACCAAGCTATAGCTTATTAGCTTAAGCTTACGGAGCTCTTATACCCAGTTAAAAAGTCGTTTGAAATTGCAACTTGTTGCTCTTTATGTTTTGCTTACAGTTATAAGGTGAGTTTTGGTTTCTTTTTTTCCTGATTTTCAAAATTTCTGCTGGGTAGAAATTGTTCAAATTGGGGAAATTGTTGGTTCGGGCGGTTTGTGGAACTATATACGATTTCATCTTCATTGGCCTTGCTCCGTCATCTTTGTAAAAAATTTACTGTAAAAAGCTTATGGGTTTTGTTAAGACTAATCAATATTTTCTATCTTTTTTACCTTTTAATAGATGTGTTTGATTCAGTAGTTCACATTAATTCTTTGCAATGTTTGGTGGTATACTATAATACATGCTTAAAATGGTTTTAAAGTTCTTATGAAATATCACATTGCCTTATGTTGATGAAGCACACGGTACTCTCCTTATTTTATTTGTGCGCTTCAGCTTACAAATGAGTCTATTATTCAAATGATCACTTAACTATCCTAAATTATCTCCTAAAGTCACTTTTCTTTCGTTTGTAACAACAAAGTCATTGAACTATGCCTATTGCACTCAGAAGGTCAGTCAACTAGATTTTCTAAATTTTGGATTGCCAAATACCTATTTTACCCTCTACATTAAACATTTATCTTCTTCTTTTTTTAAATTTTTTTAATATTATGATTTTTTCCTTTTTAATTTGTATTATAGACTATAGAATAAATAAATTTTATTTATAAATAAAAAATAGAAAGTATTTAAGCATATGTAATGCTGGAAGAACAAAATAATAAGCGTAGTAAACAAATTAATTAGAATAATTTGTTCGTAATAATAATTTTAGTATTAACAACAAAAATTCAAAAAATTATTTACACAATTCAGAATGAAAGAAAATAAAGGTTGTAAAATATGTATTCCATGCACGTAATATAAAAATAATTATTTAAGTAAAGGTATTTTTATAATATACATTATATATTGCTCAATTATATTATTATGTTTCTACCAACAATTCCGACGACGCAAAGTTATGTCACCGGAAAGCATGGGGACTATCTGTATAGGGTGAAATATGATATGTTAAGTTATTGCATAAGAGGGTGACACGTGGAACCGAAGGCAAAGGATAGCTAAGACCGAAGACAACTGTTTCATTTACTACCGGAAAGAATGATGCGCATAAAGATGAAATAAATGCCTTCCACCCGGTAGCATTTAATGAATAATATTCTACAAGCATTAATATAATTGAGCATAATTTTCAAGAATATATAATGTATATTATAAAAATACTTCTATTTAAATATTTATTTTTATATTACGTCCATGGAATATATATTTTACAACCTTTATTTTCTTTCATTCTGAATTGTGTAAATAATTTTTTGAATTTTTGTTGTTAACACTAAAATTATCATTACGAACAAATTATTCTAATTAATTTTTTTACTATGCTCATTATTTTGTTATTCCAGAATTATATATGCTTAAATACTTTTTGTTTTTATAATTTATAAATAAAATTTATTTATTCTATAGGTAAGTCCATAATATAAATTAAAAGGGAAAATCATAATATTAAAAAGTTTAAGAAAATAAAAAGAAGATAAATGTTTATAATTTAGAGGGTAAAATAGGTATTTTTCAATCCAAAATTAGGAAAATATAGTTGAGTGACCTTCTGAGTGCTATAGGCATAGTTCAGTGACTTTGTTGTTACAAATGAAAGAAATGTGACTTTAGAAAATAATTTGTGATAGTTGAGTGACCATTTGAGTAATGCACTAGCTTACAAATTTAATCTTCATACATTTCACTTGTGCACTTTTACCAGTGGTTTTACTATTTCAATATTTTCGCCTAACAGTGTTGTCAAGCTTGCTATTGTTATTGTTTTGGCGCTGAAGCTCCTTCAGGTAACGACTTCGACCACCTGGGGTGCATCATTGCAATAGCAAAACGAAGTAGGAAACTAAATAGAAAAATAAATCTATAAAATTGGACTTGGTCTAGAAAAGAATTTAAAAAGTGTATACAGCTGTATGCACTTAGTTCCCATGTCAATTACACGTCAAAAGAGTAGAAAATATTGTATCTGAGAATCTAGGGTACTCATTGAAAATCTGCCGATATAGGAAATTTTTTCTCCAAAAGAAGAATGTATCTGTATCGGTATGGTTTTGTCCTTTTTAATCTTTGTAGAACATTTTTTTACATTGTGCTTTATTAGGATCCTGTTATTCATCCCTTGGGCGAGCGAGACTCTCAAAGCTAGGAGCAACTACTTAAATGATACTCCTGTTTGGTTAAATATCCGGATTATCACCGTGTATGTATTCAGTTAAATGTTTAACTGATGAATTCAATATTATGCTTTGGAATTTGCTCTGCAATAATATATAGGCAGAAAGATACAAACTCACCATTTAAAAGGTCTTGCATGTATAGATAACAAGGACAGGTGAAAGATGAAACAAAAGAGTAAGAAACATCATCTTCCACTAAAATACCAGTCCTCGATCTGATAGAAAGAAAAATTTTTCTGACTGAGCATGCTGGCTTACTTAGTCATAGATAGTTTTCCCATTGTGATGGAGCTTTCCTGTTAGTATATGCTTTTTCTTAGAAAGGGGGATGGAGGAAACTTTTTGTTCTCTTTCTCTTTGCCTTGTGCTCGATCTGATATTAATAGCATGAAGATGGTTCATTATGTTGAAAGTCGAGGTTTTCCTATATGGGTCAAGTGAAGTTTCCTCATAAATAACATTGTAAGCAATCGTTACTGAGGTACGATATTTTAGTAATTTTTTTACTGTAGCTGTTATTTTATAGTTTGAATTTCTCTTTACTTGCCTTCTTTTGGTGTTCTTCGACTTCTTTAATTAAAAATTTTAACTTTTAGGTTGATAGCCATCTGAATAAAAATATTAGAGTATTTGGTGGCATCATAGTGTTAATGATGCATGTAGGAGATTTGGTTTATTGTTTTATTATGACTGAGTACTACAATGATAATTAATCTAGCTAACGGGTTCAATTTTCTTGAATTGTTTATAATAAGAGTACAAAAACAATCAAGTAGTGTATTTAGAATTCAGAAACTCTGTCACTAACCTAATTACGTCTATATTGCACAAAAACTTGGATTAAATTGCAATATAATGTCAAAGATAGCTTGTTCTTTCTTTTAAACAAATGTTGTTTGGCTTAATGTAGATAAACAATTGCATCCGCAGATGCCAACATGCTTCAGGTATTGAACCTTTCTCTTTTGGGATTTCAATTAAGCTCATTTTTTGTTTACTTTTATAAGCCTATACTGAACAACATCTTCTTCATCTATTCAGGTTGACATTGATCATTTGAGGATATCACAATAAGATGGTTGCACATTTTATATGTCACTTCAAGCTTTATTGCTGCTCTCTAGCAATAAGCAGAATATGTTCATAGGCTTCTCTTCTATCTATACATCAGATTGGATGTCAATTTTAACTGAAAGATAGCCCAATATAGCTTGTTCTTTCGTCACAAATGTTATTTGGCTCAATATAGATGTTCAGTTACTCACGGTTAATTTTTTTTTTCTTGAGTTGTAAGTCTGAGCTACTGCCAGTTGAAGACATGTTACATAAATACAATATGTTATATGCACTAATATTGCTATGTATATATTGTCATTTGAAAAAATAAATAAAATCATTATTGCATAAAAAGATCAAAATAATTGCTTGGTTTATTCTGATACAAGTTTCAGTGGTCTATTATTTTCCTTGGCTCTACCATTGATTTGTGGGTGTGGTGCGATTTGGTTCTGCTGGTCTGATTTGTGCATCAGTTTAGGATTCTCCATTCACGTTTTCTGGTTGGGATATTCACCTCTACACAAAGGTTTTTCAAAAATTACTGCATTTAGAGCGAGGCATCAGAAACATGTCACTAATGCTAGCAGAAACAGTTGATTTAGGATGAAGCTGCAGAGGAGACTGAAGAGAGGAACTTTGGAACTATTTGTTCTCTCTTAATTTGCGTTCTGCTCGATTTGATCTTAATATTGTCTGAAGATGGTATGATTAAAGTCACGTAATTTGTATTTTTTGGATAACTTTTTTTCTGTTGTGTAAAGCTGAGCTGCTCTATCTTAAGACAATAAAATGTTCAACATGTTTAAATGGTGGGAAGCTTCTTCGTTCAGATTATTGGACTTTGATGTTTATTAACACCGTGCAGAAACTTGATGCGATCAAACTCATCTGGATTACGTGGCTTCTATCAATGGGTTTTGGTTGCCCCACAGGCTGGGTGGGTTTAATGTTCTTTTGAGCAAAACTTTAAGATGTATGTATTTTTTAGTACCATAGGCACTGCTTGATGTAACTATTGTCTTGTGGATTTGTATATATTTGGAAGATCAAATAGTCATGTACACTCATCTATAACTGGTATAAACTAATGACTAAAGTGATATTAATTCATTCTATATCCCATTATTTATTCCTCAGTGTTTTGTTCGACAGACAAAGTAAATTCCGCTATGTCCATGGAGATGTGCGTAGTAGCTGCTCTGCTTTATATCTCGAATGACAACAATGCATATGGCACATAATTGTGGAACATTTAATCATCTAGAGATTTGTCTAAAGCAATTTCCAAAAAGATTAAGTATATCTATTTTGATCCTACAAATAATAGCATTGCAATTACGAAAGTCAAAGGCTCTATAGTATACGGGCCTGAAGTAGCAAAGGCAATTACACAAAACTTAAGCATTCAAGTAGACGGGCCTGAAGTAGCAAAAATTGCTAAATCAAGTGTGCTGAAGTTTTTGTTTGTAATTGCTGAACTTAAGCATAGTAGCTGAAGTTTTGTTCTCTATTTGCTGAAGTATTTGTTTGTAATTGCTAAACTTAAGCATAGTAGCTGAAGTTTTGTTCTCTATTTGCTGAAGTTTTTGTTTGTAATTGCTGAACTTAAACATTCTAGTAGCTGAAGTGTTGTTCTCTTTTTCCTGAACTTCAGCATGTTTTAACTGAAATTTGTTCTATATTTGCTGAACTTCAGCATGTTTTATGCTATCATGTAATTGATTTTTTGTACAGATAATAAGTTTATCATAAGTAGAATTAGTAACTTAAAAAACTAGATAATGATTTAGCACAACAGGTTAAAATGCATTGATAATGTACAAAGCCAATCCAAAAAAAAAATAGAATGTGAATTAAAGGAAATGGACTTATATTTACATACATGTACGTACTTACTTTAGAAAGTTATTTATAATTTATTTTTAAATAGTCTGATAAACATACTTATGGTAACATCATCCCCATGGACTGAAGTTTCATAGCAGCACCAACAGCAGAAGAAGAAAGAAGAAGAAGAAAACGAAGAAGGAGAAGGAGGAAGAGAAAGAGTGCTGAGGTTGTTTAAAAAGTGGGTACAAATTAAAACTTTTTAAAAAATGGGTATAGACTAAATGGGGGCGCCTGGGCGCCCCGTGCAATTTTTATCCCCCTCCCTCCAAAACCCCCTTGAAATCTCTCCCCATGTATAATAGTTTTTTGAAAAAGTATATACATAATGATAGGGTGCCACATCGTAAATGTTTATGTTTATCTATATGAATAAGGAGATTTTTCATGGGCCTAAGGCCTTATCATGCTTTGCTATAATTTTGTGCGAAAAATCCAAAAATGGCCAGTTTTTCGCCTGGTCAATCAAATGTAGCCACATAATCACCGGTCAACGATATTTAGCCACTAATTTAGTGCGGTAACATTTTGTTGACTAAAATACCCCTGCTTTTTTTATTAATTTACGCGACTTCACCTTAAATTCTTCTTTTAGCAAAACTTAACAAAATCTTCCGGCATTAATTTTCAAATCGAGTTATTAAGAAAATTTTCGCTATCAATCTGTAAATCGAAATATTAGCAAAATCTTTCGGCGTTAATCGAGGTATTCGCAAAATCTTCCGGCGTTAATTTGCAAATCGAAGTGTTAGCAAATCGAAGTTTTAGCAAAATTTCCGTCGTCAATCTGCAAATCGAAGTAAGTTCTATCTAAAATTTGTCTGATTATTTAAATTTCTTCTACGATCAAGAATTCAAACCATAAAATTCAAAATATCAGTAAAAAAAATTTAATTTTTCGAATTTTTGATTTGTTTTTAATGTTTTAATCTGTGTTATTGTCTAATTTTCTCAATGTAGAACATAGCGCCAGTATAATTTGTTGGACGTTTCTAAATTAATATCTAAAGCAAAGATTTTTCCAGCTTATTATACTGGAAATCTCATAAAAAAAGCATGATAATTCACTTGAAGTATGTTTCGTTAATGTAGATATTATGTTATTATATAATTGAGTTTTGTTTGAATCCAGTATATTTTACGGGACATCACGTGTATGTAAGCTTTTCCTACAATATGTTATACTGGATAAGTTCTAACACTAGAATATAATTGAGTTTTGTTTGAATCCAGAATATTTTACGGGACGTCACCTGTGTGTAAGCTTATTCTCCAGTATGTTAAACTGAATAAGTTCTAAGACAAGAATATAATTGAGTTTTGTTTTAATCCAGTATATTTTACGGGACATCTCATGTGTGTAAGCTTATTCTCCAGTATGTTATACTGGATAATTTCTAAGAGTAGAATATAATTGAGTTTTGATAGAATCCAGTATATTTTACGAGACATCACCTGTGTATAAGCTTATTCTCCAATAAGTTATAATGGATAAGTTATAAGACTAGAATATAATTGAATTTTGTTTGAATCCATAATATTTTACGGGACGTCACCTGTGTGTAATATTTTTTATGTTATACTGGATAAGTTCTAAGACTAGAATATAATTGAGTTTTGTTTGAATCCAGTATATTTTACGGGACATTACCTGTGTGTTAGCTTATTCTCCAGTATGTTATACTGGGTAAGTTCTGCATAAACTAGAATATAATTGAGTTTTATATCAATCCAGTATATTTTACAGGAAATCACCTGTGTTTAAAATTTTCTCCAGTATGTTATACCGGACGAGTTCTATTTAGAGTAGCATATAGTTGAGTTCTATTTAGACTAGAATATAATTTACTGGACGTTTCCAGCTTATTATATTGGAAATCTCATAAAAAATGCATTGTAATTCACTTGAAGTATGTTTCGTTAATGTAGATATTATGTTATAATATAGTTGAGTTTTATTTCAATCCAGAATAATTTAAAGTACGTCACCTGTGTGTAATGTTTTTCTCCAGTATGTTATACTGGACGAATTCTGTTTTCAGACTAGATTATAATTGAGTTTTGTTTTAATCCTGTATATTTTACGGGACATCGCCTGTGTCTAAGCTTTTTCTCCAATATGTTATACTGGATAAGTTCTAACACTAGAATATAATTGAGTTTTGTTTGAATCCAGAATATTTTACGGGACGTCACCTGTGTGTAAGCTTATTCTGGGACGTCACCTGTGTGTAAGCTCATTCTCCAGTATGTTAAACTGAATAAGTTCTAAGACAAGAATATAATTGAGTTTTGTTTTAATCCAGTATATTTTACGGGACGTCACCTGTGTGTAAGCTTATTCTCCAGTATGTTAAACTGAATAAGTTCTAAGACAAGAATATAATTGAGTTTTGTTTTAATCCA